CAAGTGACTGCTGCAGAACGCACGCGAGAGAGAGACGAGGCAGCGCAAATCGTGCGTCTCATAAGTGAGTGGGGATTTACCGAACGTGGCACTTGCATGAGTTAACACTGTATGCAATACCCGCAACCTCACACCAAATTTCAGGTCGTGTAGATAGGCAAGCATATATACAAATAATTTAGTAAGTAGAAATCCGAAATTTACCTTAACATATTAAGTTAGAGGAAGATGCGACAGAATTGATGCTTGAAGAATGCACTTCCAGCAGCCATAAACAGTTGGCGGTTAAAGTTTTCTATGCACAATTTGATTTGACGAAAGTCACGAGACCTATTACTCTCTATCCAATCACGTTGATGGATAAAAATACAATTAAAATAAGCATGTAACGACCACAAACGGAGGAAAATAGCGGAGTAAAAGTACCGATACATCACTTAAAATGTACTCAAGTAAAAGTAAAAGTACACCATTTTTAAACTACTAAAAAAAGTACAATTATTGATAAAAACTACTTAATTACTGTAACGTGAGTATTTGTAATTCATTACTTCACACCCCTGAATACAAATACAAATACAAAGGACTGTACCCGTCTGCTGCAGAAACTGAAATTTTGATTCGTGTTTTAGCTAAAGCTCTGGGCCATAACACAAAGTTCCTGAGGGATGTAAATAACGATGATGATAACAGACGCTTCCATAAATGAACATAAACATGAGCCACCAAATTACCAGCCTGTGGAGAACTTTAATTTTCTTTTGCTATCTTCTCTTGTTCAATCCCACTGATGAACAGAGTTTCATGTAAATGTATCAGTGTGTGGTTTCATCTGAACACACACAGATGCTTCTATTATCACTGGAATTCATAAGTATTGTTATCAGCGCTCTTCTAGCACAGAATCTCTCTCTATAGTGCCTCTCTATATACACATTTAAATACTGTTTCCCAGCAGGATCATATTGCTTCATCTTATGCATAATATCTTCCTGACTGTGCTATAGTTTCCTCTGTGATATACTGTAAGCTTTCAGTCTGCTGTTTACAGCTGTTTCTGCTGAAATTAAAAGTTGCTATCATTGTTTTATTCTAGTTTCAGTCACTTTACTCAGAATCCTCATTTCGGCTTAATTAAGAAACATTAAATAATGCAAATCATCTTATGAATGATTTGAGGTGTGAGTCACCAGCAGCCTGAAAGGATTTTGTCCATTCCTGTCAGTTTTCTAACTGACACAAATCCCTAATGATCCAATCCATTCCCCACAGCCGAGACTGATGTCACCAAATAATCCAGGCTGCTCTTCTCATATTAGATGACTAAAGTTTGACATTTTTTGAAGAAAATGTGGTGCGTGCCTGTGTAAAGTTCACTGCTACGATGCTAGGCTGCTGTGACGGTTGACAGGGTGCTGCTATGTGTTTGCTAAGGTGTTCTGGGTATTTTTTTTTTGCATGTTTAAACATTGCTTATCACAATGTCTTGTTCTAGCTAATGAACAAAGCTTTCTTTAGCAGTTAGCAATATGCTAAGTAAGCAAGGTTGCTAAACGAAGGCATTTAGTGGTAAGCCAAGCGTTAGCTAAACTGTTAACTTGCTAACCAAAGGCAAACTGAAAACATAAACAAAATATTGTTTTAAACATTTTATCTTTGTTAATATGATGTGATATGCCATTTAAAAGACATTCATTAACATAGTTTCATGATTAAGAATGAAAACACCATTATGTGTTATTCTATCATTTCTTATCAGGCACTGAAGAGAGTAAAATGGGGCTAATGGCACACCTTAAGGGACATGTGCTTTTCACTGCTGCCATAGTGATTGATTGCAGCTTTTTATTTAAGTTACGATATGTTGTTTGGAGCTTGTTAAACGATTCTGTATTGCATTCGATCTGTTAATGTTACAGTTATTGCTGTTGGTCGGCTCTGCTGTGCTCTTGTCGTCTGGGGTAATTTACGCTGGCAGACAGCAGACCACGTCCACCGGTGTGTCAGCCATTCTGACAGCTGAAAGAGGGGCGGCCATCCATTGTGGCAGCTGTCAGACAGGCTTTTACTGGATGTGCACTCATACCTAGGGATGTTCATACACACACTAACACATGAAAGCACACACTCACAGATGAATCGACATCAAAATGAGGTGGCGACACAGAACATGACAGCGATCGGGTGACGAGTGATACACAGCTGTGTGTGTGTGTGTGTGTGAAAGAGAGATAGCACTCTGGGAAAGAATGAAAGCTGATTTCTTTGAGCTTTGACACTGCTGGCCTTTCTTTCAGCTTCACAATCATCTGATATTTCTGACTTTGTCACTTTGCCTGTTGGTGCCGAGACAGAGAGGAAATCGCACAAATATATCCCACAATCCCATTAAGTCGTGGGAGTCCATATGTGTGAGATTATGCGCGTCATACAGTATGTATCTGCGGCAGTGACATTTAAACCCTGAGATCAAATAGAAGCGTTTCAGCTGTTATTTCTCTCTTTGTCTCATTTCAGCTTCCAGTGGCAAATACCGCTGACGCTCGCAGTGGGAAACTCCAGTCACATATCAACAGAGACCATCGTCTGGGTCTCCAATAAAACAGGTACCATGAGTGTTCTCATTAATGTTTGGACATCACAAATTTACTCTAAATGTGTCATGTGTTGTAACCACCAGATACACAAAAATACACATTTTCCTTACACCTTGAAAACACATGGGCATACACATCTTAATAATTATTTTCAAAATGTTTTGAAATTAATTTTTCAAGGTAACAAGTGCTTTTTACAAATGTCATGAACTATTAATTCATAAATATCATTGTGTTTGGGGAGTCGCACCACATTATAACAAGTCAGTCATGAACTATTGCCTATTGTTATAAAAATGCCAAATTATCTGATACCATATTTTAAGAAACTTATTGACCTTGATGAATAATCATGAGAATCCTCATGATATCGTTTGCATGTCTGTTGCACTTCATGGATTTAATTTACCTGACAATTGAAAAATGTTACAAGAATGGATCAAGAATATGATTCATCAAGGCTTTTCCTTTATTATAATGTTGCTATCAACCTGACATTTTTGACATCTAAAAATATCAGAATGATTTTTAATAAGAAGAAAATAAAAACATGCTCATCATAGAATAGGTATACAAGTCACTGTATGAATTTATTGTATTTTTTTTAATACATTCTTATATCTGAACAGGAAATTTATTGTCATGTTCTTGACATATGAAGTCAACAACTGCTGTCAACCAGCAACACAAAAATACAGATAAAAGTACTACTTTAATTGGATTTCCTCATTAATTTGAACTGAATCAGCTCTTGAGAGTGCTTTAATGTTAATGTCCTTTTACAACACATACTATTCAACATATACTATTCATCTCTGAGTCACACATTCATGCAGCAGCTCCACGTCCACCATCATTAAATTCAATTCTGTTCCATTCCTTTCCTCTCCATTGGGAGAACGAGGTGGATTTTCTTCAGATGGAGCCACAGCAAGTCAAATTCCAAGAGCCGGAATTGAATTTGGTCTGCAAGTGATCCGTGTGACTCAGAGCTCAGAGTTCCTCTGATTGTGAGACCGTTTAACAGCCTCCATTTTCAGCTCACCTTGCTTTAAAAACAGCCCTCATCAGGGCTACAATGCAGATCCACAGCAGCTGAGACAGAGAAACAGAGACTGTAACTTAGAGACCCTATTTATATGCATTAACTCACCGCCTGACTCTTGCAATCTGCCCGCTGACGCTTGGATGCTCCCTGGATCACGATACACTTCAAACACATCGAGTCCACGAGCGCTCGAAAGCACTTAACCAGTGCATTTGTTATCCATGAAAAAGCACAAGGTCTGGCTGGAATATTACAAGATGAGAACGTGGCAAACACATTAGATTACAGATGTTGTGCATTATGAAATGCTGAATGCATTGTCTCTTCATGTATATTTTCATGCAGGACTGCTTTTATGAGTTCATTCCAAAGATGATAAATGTGCTGACATTTTTAAACATTGATATGAATAAAAAGCTTTGTGAGTGCACTGTCAGGCAGAATATATCAGTCTTTATGAACTACAGTGGGCAGCTTGTTTAATTTTCTGTAATATTTCATTAGAAATATATTTTGATTCTTTAATTTCTGTTATCTAATGATATTCACATCTGTCTGTGAGTGTCTAGATGTCATTTGGCGCTGAGTGTTTCTGCTCGTATGCGTGAGAGTCGAGCTACAGTGAGCTGTCAGAAGTGTCATTAAATGTTTGTTTCATGCTCTTTTTTCACTCGTGTATTTATAGAGACGCACAGAGTGGGTCACATGGGCAGCGAGACGTGGTTGCTGGGCAACATCAATCAAACGGGCTACTTCAGAGTGAACTACGACCTTCACAACTGGAGACTTCTCATTCAACAGCTGATGACCAACCCAACGGTAAACTTTCTTCCACCTCTGTCAGTCCATCATCTTTTGAGTCTTTTCTTTCACGATCCTTCCGTTTCCTCATTCTCCTCATCACTCCCGTCTCTCCTGCATGGTTCCTGCTGCATTATAAATGTCTCTGCTTGTTCTCCGCCGGCAGATCATCTCTGTGGGCAACAGGGCCGGTCTGATTGATGACGTCTTCAACCTGGCGAGGTGGGTTCTGTTTGTTACACACAGAGTCATTCAGAGCCTGAAACCTGCACTACAGATCCATTTAACGTCCTTCACACCCACAGAGACCAGTGAGGAAAAACTCTTGGAGTATAAAAGCCTGTTGAGACCAAGTCCAGATTTCAAAATGAAACAATGCATCTCTATGAACTTCACTATGGTCAAAATTAAGCAATTAAATCTATATATATGTTTAATTTTTACTGACTAAATGTTCCAATTAATTTTGTTATTCCATGAAACACAACCATTATGGTTTTAAAAGGTTTAATTTTTTCCACTTTTACAAAACTGGACCTGCATTTAAATGATTTATTTTCATTAAAAAAGTACTTCCAAATGCCTGTTTAAGTTACATTTATGAATGACACTGAGTGGATGAATCTTGAATTTCTAAAACCTAATTTCCCCCAAAAGAGCTTTATAAAAACTGAAGATTTGTTCATAAATGTCAAAGAACAGACAAGGCACTTATACCTAAAGTTGCAGCAGAGAGCAGTGAAAATGGATCGTCATCTTTTTGGAATTTCAGATGATTTCATCATGACTGACAGATCTGTATGGAAGTCTAAGTGTTGCAAGAGTTGAACACTTGTTCTTTGTATTAACATTCATCTCAGGTCTGATCATATGTCAGCCGAGACATTATTTTGGATGAGATTCCAAAACTGTCTTATTAGTTTTCTACATAAAGTGTTTGTTTCACATCCTCTGAAGCTAAAATACAGTCACCAGATATAGTGTTCAGATTCTGTTTGATCTGCTGATGCCAGAAGAATTATATGATCAAATCCTGTTATGTAGTCTGTTTTTGAAATCTCCATATGCTACTTTTCTGAAGTGGACCTAGGTAATCACTCTGAGAGAATTAGCTAATCAACGGTGATGTAAATGTGCCTAAATCTCAAAGGTAACACAGATTTTCTTCTGGTCAGCCTAAAAGGATCTTGAAAAAACAAACAGTAAAAAACAGTGCGATCCAGTCAACTTCAGTAAGACGTTCATTATTGACAGATGCAGTTCTTGCACTGTAATTCTCTTTTCTCCTTTAGCCTGAAGGCGTTACTGAAAAAAACCCTTTAGCTCATCAAGATGAGACCTGCACTGAGACTATTGAGCCGTTACTGCAATAGTGGATAATAAGACAGTGAGGGAAAACCTCTGTGTTCCCGCCTTTCCACTGCTGCCTCATTGTGTCGATCCTTCAGAGCTTCATCAGTAGCTGGAAACTCATGAACGTCTATTAATGTAAGAGGAGGAAGAGACAGAACAGTAAAGGTAGAGAAAGTTTATATAGTGCCACAGGCTGCCAAGCTGCCATTAGTCCCTTCAGGAACCACCGCTCTCCCTAAGGTCCTCTTTGTTTAATTAAAAAACTCTAACTCATTCTGCTTAACCCTTAAATGCATGAATGTTTCGCCAATCATTATTACATATTCGGGTCTTTAGTGGCCTGAACCTATATATCCACCACGGATGGACCTCTAACTGTTGCAATAGCAAAAAAACATCTTGATATTTTAACAACAATTACAGAAGAATAAAATAAAGCATTTATAATTTCCTTTTGAAACTTAAAAGGGTTCAATTTGAGCAGATGATTTTAACATCGCTGTCATCGTCAGAGCACACTTCCACAGTACATTCAGCATCTGTTTCACATTCACAATTTCAACCATATTCTCAAAACTATCGTTTTCAATGACTTCATATTCAATATTTTGATCACTGGCAGCTTATTCACCACATCCACCATCAAATGGCAGTGACATTTATATTTCTTTGCATATAGTAATTGCTCTGCAGTAAAGCCATTCAAACCAGTTCAATTTTTGCTGATGATATTTTCTTTGTTTTATGTCTGCGGTAATTATGAGTGAAACATCACATCATCATTGTGTATCAAACAGTGCCACCTTGAGAAAAAATTATGCATTGCACAAATTGAGTCATCAGATATGTAAATATAGTCGCGCAGGAAAAAATACTTTTTCATTTACATACCTCGGGTCTGTAGCGACCCTGTACATTTTTTACAAAACATTAATCAGAAAACTGGCATTCTTTCATATTTTACTATTTTTTTTCTTGTTATATTGTTTATAATGAATAGATTGAGGAATACTAAGAAAGTTGATGTCAAACTTTAAAAAACGGGAGGGAGAGGGTAGAGAATGATGTCCCGGGTCGCTAAAGACGTTAATGAAGGAAATTTCAATCGCTGGCATCTAGAATCATTCGGCAGCCAAAACAGTGTTTGAGTATCACTGATGGACTTTCTTAAACATTGAATGTTGTGTATTTACCATAGATGTGGTTTGTAAAGATTGTGAAATTCATTAGTTTTACAGGACAGTCATTTTTATTCTTCCTCCAAACTAACTGAGGAAGCTGCCAGATGCTCTGCTAGCATTAGCACCGCTCTTCATCAAACTGAAGCGACAGGCTCATCTGCCGGCGCTGTGCGGCTCTCGTCGTGGAGAATTGTATTTTTGGCCACAGATGTTTCCTAAGAATGAAGATTCAGTCAACTGACGACAAACCTGCAGGGAAACTTGTGTTTATTGCCATCTCGTTGGGCCGAGAATGGAAACATGTTCCCCTGCGTTGTGGTACGTCATGGTAATTTAGTCGGTTTATTCGGTTCGGCCTCGTTTACTGAAGAGCTGGATAATTGAATCTTAACAGGACTGAAGGCAAATCCTTTTGTTCCTGAGTTTTGATTTTAGTCAGGTTTGTACATATTGTTTCTCTCTGCTGTTGTTTACTGCTAATCCTAATAAATAAGAGCGGATGTTAACAGGATGTCTTGTTCAACCTCAGGGCTCAGATCTGTGGAGGTGGTTATTGGCTCTTACGTACTTGAGAAGCGAAAATGCCAACCTGCATATTAAAAACAGCATCATCATTAATCACAATGTGTAAAATGTCTAATTTCTCTGTAAATTACTGGGATGATGAAGAGTGTTCATATGACTCGAGTGATGTTACCTAATTAAATGCCCCTGGTGCTCATGGGAGTCACTCACAGATCAATACTGCCTCACAAAGCTCATTCAGCCTTTATTATGATTATGAATTACTGGATCAATTGAGGAGAAGGAAGCTGATGTTGGTGAAGCCTAGTTTAAGAATAAGGATCATATTTTAAGTGCATTGTTAATTGATGAATAGAATAATTGGGTTAATTGCATAGCTTTTTCATCTTTAAAGCAGAAGAGTTATTAGAATATTCGCTAGTCCCAGCTCTACAAAGATTTCGGGTTAATTAAAAAAAGAGTCTTATTCAACTTATAATGAAAACAAATTAAATTGAGTGCATATAGGCTAATACAGTGATGTATATAGGCTACTAAAAAATACAGATAACCAAAAGACAGAGAACTAGGAAATGTAGAAAACAAAACAGCACAAACACGACAAACCACTAAAGAAAGACAAGTAACAAATGAAGACACAAAGTCGTATATAGACTGGCGTAATAAGACTAACAAGACACAGGTGGAATCAATCAACAATTAACAAGGGGAAACAAGAACAGGAACTAAATGAGGCAAACTACAAACTGAAAGACTACAAAACAAAAGCACAAGGAAGACAAACAGGAAATATGTTAATCAGAGTTTGAAATGTACTTTTTCACTTTGTCTTCTAACATTTTTAAGTTACCAGCTGTTCAGAACATCTACAAGACCCCAGATTAATAAATAAATAAATATGACTCAGAACTGATCATATTTATGACTTGTTTGTGAATAACATTTGTGATCATTTCTCTTATTAATACATATGGGAAATAAATGTAAATGCTTTAACACATTGAAGATTAGCAGACAGGCTGTCAATTCATAAAGTGATCAGCTATTTACAGTTACAATTTTGCAAACATTTCTTGTCCAGTGTGTGCCATTCATTCATTCATTCATTCAATCAATCAACACACTCTAGTCTTAAATTAGCAGTTTATGGTGAGTGTAGCTTCAGTTCTACTAAACTAAATTAAAGCAAATAATAGTTGCTGTTATTACTGCAATCACTAGCTACTTGTCTTGACACACAACAGTTTGAACTTTTGTTTCTAACCTGATATTAGCGTCATCATCAGGTTTTTTCCATGGAGACAGAAGGTTTGTTTGTGGCGCTTGTAAAACATCATAACTCCTGTTGACAACTCTGTCATTTCTCACACAACTGCGAGAACGAGTTAAAGAACGGTGCTAGAATATTTGAGACGTTTTCATATTCTTTTTCCTTTGACACGATATTTTTTATGCACATAGTGAGATCTCATTTGACTCAGAGTGATGGAGCTTCTTAACAGGCCTGTTTGAAATGCTCTGCTAAAGCTCTGACTAAATGAGCTACAATTACAGGTCAATTTAGAAGAATGATTTATTTAGGAGACTGATGTGTTACTCATGAGTTATTTCAATGTCAGTGACATTTGCCTTGTTTAAAAATTAAACAGCTTTTTCATTTAGATTTTAAAAATCCAACGTGTAAATCATGTTAAAACAATTCCCTCTGTGTTCAAGAGCCACATACTGTTATTTTCAACTTGCTGACCTTGTGTGTATATGTGTGTGTTTTCACGTCCCAAAAGCACGAGAGTGATCAACTCATTCATTACTGTGCTCACTAACAGCAGGGAAAACGTCAGTGCCTCATCATAGTTTTATGGCCATGTTGTGTTCTTTTATTTTTAATGAATATTTCCCCTGAATAATGCAAAAAGAAAAGGGAAGTTTTTATGGATAGGATAAACTAAATGGCCTTATTCCAGCCGCTGCTGTTGGAATGTGGTAATAATGGAAGTGTCTCTAAATATAAATGACAGCCATTATGTCATATGCTTTATTTTTCCTCTGAAGAAGCACACTTTAATATTTGATACAAACTTTAATAGTTTCTATTAAAGGCTATATTAAAGCATTTATATACACACATATACAGTGTGTGTGTGTGTGTGTGTTACATACATGATTTGCAGTCATTTATATGCTACTGCGTCTGAAAGTGTTGAAGCTCAAAGAGAAACACACTAAGCTCTTGTCTCTGTGTCAAGACTGCATCCTTCATGTCTTGTGCACACATCAGTTAGGAAAATATATGCTTTATTCTGGTTAGCAACAGCTTGGATAACAATGGTGTATGCAAGGCTTTCTACTCTAAGGTTTAGACAAAATCCTGAAAATGTTTTGAGATAAACACATATTTATGTGTTAATTATGGTAATAGCTTAATTATTGACTTTTAAACAGTTGAATTATTGGTAGTCAATACAGCTACCCTGCTTCAGGTCTGCATTGAATGTCAGTTATTCATTTTTAATAGTTTGAGTATTGCTTTTGTTTTATGAATATTTTGGATTTTTTTTTTATATCACAGAGCAAAGATGTTATGCTGATATCCAATTTGAAAAATTTCCTTCCTTCTGTAATATATTAACAGGCTGTTCCAAGGAAGAAGAACATGGTTCCTGATCTCAATTAGACACAAACCTCTTTGAACACCTTGAGATAAAACTCTTTTCAGTTAAACGGCATTCATTTATCTTTCCTTGATATCCTAAATGCATTTGCTGCTTCACCATGGAAATGTTGAAATAGTTTGTTTTTAATTCTTCACAGCCTCAGTTGTCTCCTGCTAATGTGAATGCAAATCAGTTTCCCTGAAGATGTTAAAAACCTCCTTGGGTAGCTGTGATTAATGCCCCAATTAAATGTGTGTTGGGTGAATCTGTCCTCCAGAATTTAATGAGTCTGTTTTCAAGTCTGATCACTTCCTTTTTCGCCTGACCTCTGATAGGGAGCGCTTATGTGCCCTGCATGAAATTAAGATTATTTCCTGCATTATGAGTCAGAGAAAGGCCTTTAACAGCGCAGGTGGGACATAAATATGATCTCAACTAGATTTTTTTTAGATTTTTTGAGTGTTGCTTGGGTATGCAAAACTCCTTCCCGTGATGTTTGGGTTTCAAGAACGGTGCCAAGGAATTCTGGGTGGCCAAAGGTGTGTGCTTTAGCAAAAACCAAAGCATTCGTTGGATTCTAGACTCTTGGAAATTCTCGTCTCTCTTTTGTTTTTGCTCTAAGGATGTCGGCCACTTCTCTTTTTTCCCACTCTCATGAGAGACTTGTGGGAGTTTCTAAAAGACTGAAGGGAAAGTCAGAAGGAAACATGAAAAGAAAATAAATAAGGTACTGATGTGTGGCCTAGAAACACAGTCTCATTTGACTAGAGCCCAAGATCCTGCTGAAGTACATCTGGGATTTGATGTGCCGCTCCAAATGACAGTGAATATGTGCTGTTAACGCTTATGTCTGTGTTTTAGAAGAGATCTTATGTATTATGGAGTTATGCAAATTGAACACGACTGTAGCCGTACAGGAGAAGCTGTTTTTTTGTTTCTTACAGCACATTATGACTCCCCACGCAAAGCACAATGCCTGGCAGTTATTCTAAACGAATAATGATGAACAAAATGAACTGTTTGTAATCAAATGTTAACGATGTATCTTCCAAAGGGGAAATATGTGTATAAATGAGTTGCTAGTGTCTGATCCTCATGCTTGCTTTCTTTTCTCTAGAGCGGGGTATTTGCCCCAAAACGTCCCCCTGCAGATGATCTCATATTTGTCTCAGGAGACTGAGTTTCTGCCATGGCATGCTGCTAGTCGAGCTCTTTACCAGCTGGACAAACTCCTGGACCGCACTGAAGACCACAGCCTGTTCAGCGTGAGTCTGATCTCACATCAGTTTGCTGTTTATTGTATTTTAACCTTGACTAGAGCAATGAGAAAGACACGGCTGATATCTAGCAGCACGTCTCAGATGACTCAAACTCACTGCCAGACAGATCAAACTCAAAAATTCCTCTGATCATCATCCAAAACAGCAGTCCAAAATGTTTCCAGACACAATGCCTGTTTGCTGCAGCATTTTATAAACTCATACGTACTAAAACAGTGTCAAATCTCCACCATTGCTAATGTTCAAAATATACAACCATATTTCTCATACTATTTCTGCAGTCTACACTATGAATGTTATGCGAAGAATGCAGTTTTTCTGCATGTGTGTGATAACCAGATGGCACACTAAAATTATATTTAAAAGTATAAGGAGTATATAAAAGTATAATACCAAAAAAAGCACTGTGAACATTTCCATGTTGCATAAGATTGTATGCAGTATGCAGTGTGCTAGTATTCCATTCTGAATGCAGCCTAACGTGACAGTGTCTGTTTCCCTGTCTTACCTGTCCACCTGCTTTCATATTCATTTATCACTTCGTTATTCAAAATATCACGCAAACGCCTACCCACAATCCCTCGGTGCGCATGAGTCATTTCTGCCCCTCCTCTGTAATGGACGATGCTTTAGTGTCAGCAGTGAGAGTGTGATGAATTTAATAGCTTCTTCTCTCTATTTCTCTCCATCATTGTGTTTACTGTGAGACAAAGCAGATGTTTAGGATGTAACGCAAGACAGGAAACAGCTGGAACAGATTAGTCAGGACACTTCAGTCATGTGACCAGGTGTTTCAACCTGCCAGACCAAATCCCTCTGTGTGTGTGCGTGTGCTGGCCAGTGTATTTTGGCCCGTTCACACACAAACACAGCATCACTAATTGTCAAACTGAGATTAATTTGTTGGCAAAATAAGAATATGTAACTCAATTGCTGTAGTAACAGCTTGACAAGCTGTAGGCACCTGATCCGCCACAGTATGTAAAACAATGTCCTCTACAAGCCTTTATGTGCTTTTATCCGTGTAAGTGTGTGTTAAGAATTGAATTGCGGCATAGCAGGGTCTAATTGTGATCATTCACTCGTCTCAGTAAGAGGGCATGAAGGAGAGCAGCCATGACATTACCTGCTGCGACATTTCCCTCAACCATATGGCGAGTCAAAACACACACACACACACACACACACACACACACACACACACACTTGTACTGTTTATATGTTATCAGTTACATTATATATCAATGAAAATGTTTGCACTTAGGCAAAAGTGAGAAATACTAATTTACATTTGAAACTTGGTGAGATGATAGCTAAGTAATTAGGTAAACCCAAAGAAACAAAAACAAACAATAATTGGATGAAATTCACAATTATAATACAGTCAAGATGTACAGACTTAACATTATATGAGGCAGTATCAGACAGATGTAGATTTGACTCTGTGTGTGAAGATCAAATGGTAGTATATGTGTCTGCATTTAGCTGTGGCTATGTGGCAATGTGTAATCATGCTCCAAACAAAGGCAAGCAAGTTTTACAATTGTGATGCAAATTTGGCCCTGTTGTAACAGGGAGCCAGCCTGAGAATGTGAGTATGAGGTGTGATCTGGCTCAATGGCCTACAGGCCTTGATCACTATCAGCACCTCTGTGCCTTCAGGAATGCCAAATGGCCCTTTTGTTACTGAAGATAGGTTTGGGACAGGAAAGCAGAAGTCTTTGATAATTTTTGACCTTACACACGCACACACACGCGCGCACACACTTGTACTGTATACAATACAATACAAAACAAAACAATTAAAAAAAACTAATAATTTAAATCCTGGTCTCAACATGGCAACCGTACTGACTCTTTTCTGCCTTTTGTTTTGCACTTTTGTTTGCTTTTGCTTGACTTTGCGTTTCTTGTTATGTTTTGCTTCAATAATTTCTTTGCTTCCCTCTCTGTTTTGTTTTTTGTTTTGTTAGGACTATGTTCTTAGACAGGTGGAACCGAAGTATCACAAGTTGGGCTGGCCAGCCACTTCCCCCGAGGGCTCCTTCATGCAGGCGTCTTATCAGACCGAGTGAGTCTTGAATTTCGTATTTCTTGAATTATATATTACAGTTATAAACATATATGTGGTCTAAGTAAGGACACCGAATTGCAAAGTGTGAGTGAGATATTTTCCTCCTCAGAGATGGGAGGAAAACTACCTCAGTAGTATTTAATTTTTAATTTTCCCCTTCCTCCATCTTTAACTTCCTGCTGATGTACTTTCCTGCTGGTATCCTTCCCATTTTTTTCCTTAGAGAGCTTCAGAGAGAGGTAATAATGCTGGCCTGCAGTTTTGGAAACAAACACTGTCACCGGCAGGCTGTTTCTCTCATTTCAGACTGGATTTCCAGCAACAAGAACAGGTGAGCAAATTAACAGAATTTACAGAATGACACCCACACCTAAACACAGGTGTGACCTGGTGGACAAAAAATGAATGTAATGCACATTCACAACAGATATGTTATAATTTCTGGAATTTTATTGCTAAACTCATCCAAATGTATCGCAAAATATGACTGCTTATTGTTCTATATGTTCAACCCTGCCAATATTCATACAGTAGGAGCTTCATTCCAAGTGTCTATGGCAACACACATTTGTTCATCTAATTTGTTTTTCCTGCTTCCCACAGCAATGTTCACATTCATGCATGCAGGATCACACTGTCAAACACACCATGCCACCGGCAGGGACTAATGACCATAATGGAGAACAAACAGGATCGTGGGTGTGTGTTCTTACTCTGCCCAAGATATTGTGTTCGCCCAGCTTTTAGGAATTTTTTTTCTTTGTGTTTGAGCCAAACAGTGGGCAGCATGCCTACAAACACACAAAAGACCATATATATAGAGCACACTGGCAACCTCAGTCAAATAAGGGGGAGGGTGGACCAACTCCATGGTAAGGCTAAAAGTATGTAACCTAATGGTTAGCAACTAATCTGAACGCCTCTGATTGGCCACTACATTCATAAGCTAAACAGAATCATGTGTGATATGTTATAACGTGCAACACTGTAAAAAACATAAAAAGAAACATGATGCAAGATGAGCAGATGTATATTCAATGCCACAATTGACACTTTTCAATCCATTTTCAATTTATTCGCGACAGGCCTAATAGATTAGATTTAGTTTAGTAGATTTTGTTTAATCGTGTTGTGGCATTTTTGCCCCAAACCCTCGTTAATTTCTGGCCTGTGGCCAGGGTAAAGCTAAATCTTTCCCAGCCTTACCTATGCCTTAGTTGCATTGGAAATTTGCTAGCTGGCTTCTTCAAAACTGAGCCTCAAATTGACAGACAGACAGACCTTAAATACACACATACAAAGGCTTTATTACACATAAAATGTGTTACATATTGACCTTGGCTTCATATAATGTGAATATAATGACTTCTGAGGCCTCTAACATGACTCTAATAAAAGCGGGCTGCTCAATTTAAAAGCTTTTTGGCCTAATATTCCTGCTTTCAACATGTGAAATACACACTCAGTTGAATTCAACCAGTGTTTGACCTGCTCAGTCAAAGACTTTCCACTCTTTTGGCCTGAAACTACTCAATTGCTCTGACAGTGGCTCTGCAATTATTACCCCGTGGAGTCCAGTAAGAGGTTTCTGATCATGTCAGAACACACAGGAAGTCTCTGTACTGAACACAATCCCTCCTGCTAGACATATCATCATGTGGACAGGTTAGTCTAATCCACTGCTAGAGTTAGAGCTCATGAAAGCACTCATATTTGAGATATTTTTTTACATTTAAGGCATTTAGCAGATACTTTTATCCAGAACGACTGATTAAAAATGCTTTAATTTCTCTTGTACGACTGTCAAAGTCAACAAATGGCAAGAAATAAGTTCTGAAATTCATCTGCTAGAGATTAACCTGCCTTTCGTCTACATTGTTTTTATGTTATTACTGTAGTTATACCAACCTTTTGATACTGATTATTGCTTATAAGTTTGGCAATTTTAACTACATTTTGCATTTTATGGATATGTCATATTTGTATTGTGCTGTTTTCCTCTTACCTGTCTGCAGAAGTCTGGATCTGCCAGATGTGTCCTTCACTGTCCTTTTCTTCAAAAATGACCTCCAGTCCTACTGGGACAATACAATTTTTTAGTACAATAAAAAGAATCTGTTCAGTTTGATATTCAGCGATGAGCACATCATAAAAGAGGAATGTGTTTGACCTTTATGTCTTTTTATGGTTTAGGTGATGATAATGTCACAGGAATGACCCAGCAGCGTGTATGAGCTGCAAAGACAGGCTTCAGATCACTGTACAGCCAAAGACAAACACTGACAAATCCATCTCATGTGCTTTACTGATTATAAACAGGAAACCACAGCCTTAAAAAAAGAAAACTAAAGAAAATTAAAGACCGGTTAAAGTAAACCAGTCCAGCTGAATTTTTAGTATAGTGAATTAAGTGAATTAACAATACAGTTTTTGTCTCTATTGGAAATAAATACAATGTAAAATGCACAAAAAAACTTTATACATTGTTTCAAGAACAAAAGCGTCCGGCAGACATATTGCACGTTCCCTGCAAAATCTCATATCAGCCTTTTATTATAAACATGTCTCCTCCACTGTGGCAAATATTTGAGAAAATTGAACCTTCATATTCAGGTTACAATAGGAAAAGTTATAGAAGTCAAAACTAGATTTATGGTTTGTGCTGTTACCCATTTTTATTGTGAAAATATATGAAATTCATGAATTTTCTCGATATAATGGCAGCTAACGGAATGTCACAAATATTATTCTTTATTTATTAATCTTTTTCTGAAATCACTTATCGTTCCTATCAGTGGCAGTCATAAACAAGACATCACTTTCACAGGTGTGGAAATTTCAGTCTATACGCTCCAATTGGTTGTGACTTGATTTCATATCTTACTGAAGGTGCCGTTTTCTGTATTGCTACACTGAAAACTCCCAGAGGCTCCGACGGCTCATCCAGAATCAGCAGGTCTTTATTGAGCTTTGTTTGAGCAAATCAAAAGTTCAGTCACTGTATCGCCGCGGCTCCTCCAGAGGTTTAATGTTATTTCTTCTTCCTGTACGAATATTACATGCATCGCCTCACAGCCTGAGATGCGTTTGTCTCTGTGTAGCTCTACTGTAGACGTTTATTCTTTTCTGAGATTTATAACCAGATGATATCAAGAGTCCAGAGAGGGCTCTTACTTATGACCGATATATTGCTGGACAATATATTGCTCTGTGACTCAATTTGGGAGGCCTGCAATGATGATTTGGGTGAAATGTTCACCACTTAAATTATGTGCTCACTAAAAAGCATCGAATCAGATCAGCTGGTGTTATTATGGACATTTTTCGTTGTGCCAGAAGACATGTGATTCGAAGTGATCGCAGACAGCAGAAGACCACTTGAACCAAAAGTGGTCTGTGTTTATCGTGGTGTGCCTACTCTGGAGCGAGGATACCAAGGAGATTCCAGAATTATCACAGACTTTATTTACCACAGGGAAAACCACACGTAGGACACGGGGATCAACGTTCAATTCCAGACAAGGGAAACTCAGAAACACAGGGTTTATATTATGGGACTAATCAAGGAAATCAATGGGACACAGCTGGGATCAAATAAACACAATAAGGGCAGGAACAGGAAGACCAAATAAGGGCAAGGAAGGCACATGGGGAGCAAAACACACACAAAACAAGGAACAGAGTGTGACAGTTTTGAATCTAAGAGTGTCTTATTATTTTAAATGATATTTCGTGCATTTCCAACATTTTGAATGGATAGAAGAATCCGCAAAAGAAAGATCAACTTCTCACAGAAGCATGCAAATAAAAACATCTATAAATACACAAACTGTTTTTCACTGATTCTTCGGGAGGTGAAACATTGACTTGATTTGCTATCTTTAAACAACCCTGAGGACGTAACAAATTCCTGCTGTGAAAAATGCTCTCTTTAGGAAAATGTCATTCTCAAGAATTAAAACTAAAAAGGTGTGAACACAATGTGATCTAATGGTGTGTAAATAGCCTTTAGTAAATGTTTAATCAACAGACTTGGTCATAGAGAGGAATGCTAATCACCTCTAGCATTCAGTTTGCATAAATGCTAATGTATCAACATTATTAACTATTTTCCATGTATTCATGCACATCAAAGAAAATAATACATTAATGTTTTTAGCTCCATCAATACACTTGTAAATGTTAAATATGAGAATTTAAATGCTAAAATTAGCATGTATTATTTATTAGCATTTATTAGCATTTATAGTCATTGTGCGTCTTCACTGGAATGCTTTGGTCTTCTATCCCACAGGATTCCACCCAACGTGCGGGACATTGTGTACTGCACAGGTGTTTCTCTGATGGATGAGGATGTTTGGGAGTTTATCTGGATGAAGTTTCACTCCTCTACAGCCATCTCGGAGAAGAAGGTTCTTCTGGAGGCCTTGACCTGCAGTGACAACATCTTCCTGCTCAACAGGTCAGTCGATATTCTTATACCTCATTAACAATGCTTTATCATGTCAAAGAAATTCAAACAACAAGCCACTGTAGCATGGCACGTTTATCAATCAGTCTTAGCTGAAAGTTTTAGCTTCTTTTTGGCTTGGAATCTCAGTACCATCCACCAACCTCTTCACGGGCGATTCTAGGATTTTCGGTTTAGGGGGGCTCAGCCCCCAGTGAGGGTATAATAATAGCCTAATAAAATACATACACACACATATATATATATATATAAGATAAAAAATGTTTGATTAATGGGGGTTGTATATTAAACTTATTGCAGTATTCCACTGTATTGCATAGATAGGTATAATATTTGAGTACCGAATAAGCCAAATTTAAGTCTTCATGATCTCACACACAACCCGCTTACTGTACAAACACAAATTTTTACTGTTTGCATTTCTAGTACAACCCTCTTTCCTTATCTCAAGTATGCAAACCTCTTTGCCACATGCACTGGAATATGTATTATATTGAAAGTTACATTTTCAAATGAAAATGGCAACATGATCGTTTTATAAAGCGTATATGCGTTCATATGTGCTTCATTTTCGCTGGAGGAAACAGCTGTGGTGTGACGAGGGGTGAACGCAGTGAAAACTTAGGCTACAGTAGATGGGGAACCGATTATTGCTCCCCCATGATATTTTGTAAACTGGATTTATGACAAAGAACTGCACAGATGCAGATATTATAACAATCTATCGAGAAACACACACCGTGTCCTCTGTTTCTCATTCTGCACCCCCGCGGTCTGCGGTTTGTGGGAAAACGCTGAAAGACGGGGAGGAGCCAATCGAAGTCTGCCGCCGGTTTCATATGAAATTTAAAGGGGATGGAGGCGATCACGAATTCGTGTACAGTTTATGGAGCTAATCGCAAGATTTTAGGGGGGCCAAGTAGTCATTTTAGGGGGGTCTATAGCCCCCTAAAAATGGCCTAACGACGCCCATGCCTCTTCATTCACTTTTTCATGATTTTGGGGTGTTTCTGCCATTTTATTGATAGCAGGAAGTGTCTGGAGATCTCTGTATGGCACGTCTGACTAGAACTCACTAGTTAGTTTGCAGTCTACTGTACCTCAATCCCATTCAGTCCTCTCCTCCACATCATGTCACTCACACCAGCAGAGCTGCACTCACTCCACTGATGGGGCAGTAAAGACAATGGCTGCCGTAGGAGCTTTTCCCACAAGTCTCCACGGTGTCTTAAATCATCTCCCAACTCAATAGCAGGATGAGGATGGTGACGGATTACACCCTGTCCAGAGTAGACGAGGATCTCAGAGCCTACACATATTCTGAAGCAGATTCACTGCGGGTTCGACATCTCCATTTATTCTGTTGCATTTGGTCGTTGTTTTATGGATGCACTGAGAGAAAAAAACATTCCCATATAAAGAGACCCAGCATGACCCTTCTCTACAGTGAGTGCTCAGCACTCAACAGGCTGATTCCTGTGGGACGGATTCAGTGTGAGGCTGTTGAGCGGGATATGGTTTGCCTCACTAGAGGAAGAAGATAAATAGCACCACACTTAGTAAGCACACATCTCAGTGCTCTACATCCATGCATTTTCATCTTCATGGTTAGATACTATTCATCATATTATAGTCAGCAAGGAACATTTTCATTTTTTCCTATAGTGGTAATTGCCTTCCTTGAAGGTAAAATCAATGAGTTTTTTCTCACTCTCAGTGATCCATGACTCAGCTGTCATACACAATACACCTAGACACAACATCTGAAAGTCATGAAGCTGAACCATGAATACAAAATCATCTTCAGGAACCTCCATAATTCCCAGCAGTACAAAATCTCGGAAGGGCATCCTGCTTCTGAACATTCTCTTCAACCAATCAGATTGCACAGTTATTTGGTTTCTTAGCAGAGGTGGACAGTAACGAATTACATTTACTTGAATATTAAGTACACTTTTTGAGTATCTGTACTCTACTTGAGTATTATTTTTTTCTGGAAACTTGCTACTTCAACTTCAAAAATGGCTGCTATTACCATATATAATAAACCTTACTACTCAGGCTTACTGGTAAATTGCTGCTAAAAACTGGTCAAGGAAGAATAAAATTCTGAAAAAAAAAATTTAATTGTCAAAACACTGCATGTAAATACATCAATATTTTTTTTTTGCAAAGAAATTATCAATAAGTAGGTTAAATGATCACACTGGTCAAAATGTTTTACTTCACTTTTTTTACAACTTTGGAATCTAAACTGGGAATCAATAAGAATTTAAATCAAGAAGCAGAATCGGAATGGATAAAAGGAAAACAATACCAAACCCTAGCCACATGTTGTGACGTTCACTGATTCATGAGCATTTTATGAACACTGATCAGTTGATGGCAAAATTCAAAAAGACGGTTCTTTGGCGCAACTTGTACACCCATGGCCATACTGAGAGAGTGTGTTCCAGTATTCTGAAAAGACTAAAGATTTGTTTTCTTTTCAATGTTTGCTTGGTTTGCCTAGAATGAACCATATCATAGCCTTCAATATCTCTTTGAAAAATAACTTTGTAACTTTTAAACAAGTATTAAAATGAGTTCAATGTAGCTGTAGGAGTGTTAAATAAAAAATAAAGTTGATTATCTTCATTCAGTTGTTCCATTTCTATAGGTTTGGTAACATAAAAGCTCTTAATTCCAAAGATAATACAAGCTAATCAGTGTATTCAGTAGGTTGCATTAGTGGCATAAGGTATTGTAAGTATACAATGTGACAATAAAACAATGCATTTACTTTTTATTTTTGATACTTAAGTACTTTTAAAAGCATGTACTTAAGTAAAAACCTGACTTTACAACTTTCACTTGTAGTGGAGTAGTATTTGACCAGTAGTATCTGTACTTTCACTCAAGTAATGCAGTTGTGTATTTTGTCCGCCTCTGTTTCTTAGTGAGTGAAGCAGATCAATTATTGCCATTAGCTGGATCAAGCTTTTTTGCTGGATCAAGCTTTTTAGTGGTTAATAAGCTGGACTAACAGCCAGTGTGGCCAACCTGGTTAAAGCTGCAAGAACATCTTGGCTGGTAGTTCTAAAACACACCTTGGAATCATTAGCTGGGTTTCCATCCAAAGTTGCAAATTTAACTTATGTGCAAAATTGTAATATCGAATAAACATTTGTGAATAAGCAACATTTCCATCCAACAAGCAAAAGAGGAACAAAATCGTCACTTCCTGATAAACTGGCTCTAAATATAACTAAGAAAAGAAGGAAAAGCCAACAATTTTCATATACAATAAATGACTTGCGCCTCAGAGCGAGCAGACAAAACACAATAAATGCGGTCATTGCTTTTGGAGATAAATATACCTGCTGTTAGAGAACACAGTCATGTAAGACAGTTCTGGGAGACAGTTCTTATACAGAAATACTTTGATGATAGACTTTGCTCAGGCATTTCAGAATGACCATAACAACATGTCAGATGCTGTTTTAAGTATAAAACCACACAATCTGTCAGGTATCTGCCTGTATTTGAAGTGATGCTGGTGTCGGTTCATTCAGAGCCCCCCCCCCAGGAACCCAAAGACTGGGGAAATGTAAAATATTTCATGACTGCAACATTCAAGCGTCTACCTTTGCTCTTGTGTCTGATGTAAAAGACTGGAGAAGACCTCTGGAAACAGTTCATTGATTTCAGCCACACTTGAATTTCACACAGCATGCACAAGCAAAGCTCCGCGTCCCAGATGAGCTGTGTGTGTGAATGTGTGTGTTTGTGAAATTTAATCTACCATAGAGAAAACTGCCCTGTGTTTGGAGTGAAGGATGGGGTGTATGGAGTCTGTGTTTAGTATTGATTTCTATAGCATGAAGTAAATTGTATCTCCCTCCTCTATGTTTGTACTTCTTTCTATGATGTATGTTGTGATCCAGTGGGCCGAAAAAAAATTCCTCTCCACTACTGGAATGTGTGTGTATGTATGTGTGTTTTAGCTGATCGCACTTCCACTCTGACTGCTAACCTACAGATGTTCCTGCAGTCTTATAGACTGAAATCTCAGTAAAAGGAAAAAAAATCACAGCTGTAATCACTTCCTGTTCATTCATCACACTGGAAATTGAAGTTCAGGTCAAGTGCTTTGCATTGTAGGACACAGTATTCCATGCTGCTCTGGTTGTACACCATATTGCGATCAATAAAGTAGTTATCCTTCACATATAGAAAACGTACATACTGTGCACAGTGTACATTCTATATACTGAAGTCAATAATATGCTAGTATGCTAATCTGAACATGCTAACGTTTATGCTGGCATTATCAGTCATGAACAAAACAAAATGGCAAGCTATGCTGACAACGCCCGACGTTTTCACACGGTCACAATTATACTTGCTAGAAATCAATTACACAAGTCCAAAATCAGAATTTCTAAGTGCAAACTTAGAAAAAGAAACTTGTCTGAAAGCTTGTTCGCACTTGTACTTAGAGGAAGCTGGAGATGTCACGGTTGCGAGCTGTGAAGCTGCCGTCCACACACAGATGTGAGCTTTGTCACAGTGGCAATAATCTCCAGGGTGTTTGCCAAAAAAAGGTGCTACAAATTACTCCGCGACAGATGAAGGCAAAAGCGCTCCGTGGCAGCGTCTTTATGTGAAACATCTTATTTCCTATTTCTCCCTTTTTCATCTACTTGACATTTCGCACCTGTCCGGAATAGCCTTTGCGGCCGGGGTAAAAAGTAACCAGTCCACTAAAGTCCCATTGCAGGTGCATTTATTGTGCAATCGGTGACAAAGGTCCCCAGAATCAAGTTAGACATATTACAAAAACGAAACAATCAAAATCTTAAAAAGTCCATTCACTGCCATTGTGAATCGAACAAGAGCACAAGCACGCCAACCTTGCCGCCAGAGCACATCTCTTGCGGCATTTTACATTCTAAACCCCGCCCTCGGGAGCGTACCACTCTATGGGTAAGCCCAGGCACAATTACCAT